CTCTCTCTCTCTCTCTCTCTCTCTCTCTCTCTCTCTCTCTCTCTCTCTCTCTCTCACACACACACACACACACACACACACACACACACACGTATGAAGCATGTCAATAGCCAGGGAGAGAGCGTAGAATGCCTCTCTCTCTCTCTCTCTCTCTCCCCCCTGCTCATCCCATGTGTATGTGTGTGTGCACGTTCGAGTGCGGCCACTGCCCTGCCGCATCGCCCTTTAAAAAGACAACTCTGAATTACCTGGTACCAGGCAGTTTGAATTACCTGGGGCCAGTCAGTTCCTCAAGTCTGTCACCCTTTAAAACAAGGAAGGGGAAAGGGAAAAATAATATAAAGAGAGAACATCGAGAGTAAAGAATGTGACGTTTAGGATAACTTTCACTTACCTTCGGAACTCCACGTTACTGTCTAGGTCGGTCAAAACCTCAATCACCCAATGCTTGAGTGTGTGTTGTGCAAGCGCCAGCACTTGATGGAACTCTTCCTTGCTTGTAACAAGGGAGTGGTTAACCCTGCATTCAGTTAGCACAAATGCACTCGTTAACCTTCTCACATTTATTCAATTTTATTGTCACTTCGCCATATTTGTCTCGATTTAGTCACAATTAGTTTATTTCCAAGTCTACTACCACAAATGCACTCATTAACCTTTTATGCAATTACTGTCACTTGATCATATTTGTCTTAATTCAGTCAAAAGATTCGACACCTAGGCAGTTTGTCCAGGGGCCTAGTCTAGAGCCCGGCCGGGCACGAACCTCAGGCAGGGTTCCCAGCAGCCCCAGTGCCAGGAAAAAAAATAAAAAATAAAAAAATCCGAAAATATAATATGTTGGGTAGTAAATGCTACTGGGAACAGTCAAACACACAGAGATCCTCCCTCTTCAGCCGTATGCAGGCCTCGACCACAAACCCATCGAACTCACTCTCGGTTTCGACGAATACGTAACGAAAGGATCCAGTTTCCATAATCTGAACAATTTTCTCCTACTAAGCCAAATTTTCCAAGCAGGAGTCCTAGACTGCTGGCAGAATATGAGAGGCTGCTACCTCCCCAACCAAGACAGGTGGGAATGGTTTCAAGAAAGCTACTCTACCCTGTCACAGATGGCAGCTAAGATGTCAAGAAAACTGGCAAGTGATAGAAAATAGAGGAAATTAGCATTGGAGACAGCTCTGAAGATTACAGAGTCAAACTTAATTGACAGCCCCTCCTCCTCACTCTATACTAATATTTTTCAAAAAGCGAGAGAAGAATTGTCCATGTACCGATGGTGGGAGTTGAAAGGCCTACAAATAAGAGCAAGAATGAATGAATATGAGCTAAGCGAATCAATGTCGAAGCAGTTCTTCGCAATGATTAAAGCAAATGCAAGGTCCAATTCAATTGACGGCCTGAAGAATCTTACCGACCCAGCACTAACGAGAACGGACAACAAAGGAATGCTAAACATAGCCAAGGAGTTCTATGAGGATCTCTATCAAACAAAGACCCCGACTCCTACCCCTCCCAGCACCAAAGAAGCTCGCACCAGAATGCTCCAATACCTAGATAAAACGATATCACAAGAGCAAGCAGATGCTCTAGACAAGCCCATCACCCTGGAAGAGCTCCAGTGCGCAATCCAAAGCATGAACAGCAACAAAACGCCAGGTATTCATGGTTTAACAAAATAATTTTGGGGAAAGTTCCAGTCACTCCTGGGGGCGACCTATTAAATTTCTACCAAGACAGTTGGCTCAAAGGCGGACTACGGAATCTATTGAGCAGCAGCGTAGTTACACTACTATACAAGAGGGCGAAAAAAAGACGTAAGAAACTACAGACCTATCTCCTTAGTCACACTGCCCTACAAAATCCTAGCCAAAGCCCTGGTCGTCAGGATCCTCGACCTCACCGACAAGTGTTTCCATATAGACAAAACAGGCTTCATTCCGGGGAGATAAATTCTGGAAAATGCACTTACCCTCAACAACGCAACCAATAAAGTAAGAGAGAAGAGGATCAACACTGCAATACTGTTTTTGTCATTTTGAGAAGGGAGATGGTAAGTACATTTTCTGCCCCAAGGCAAATTGTACTTCTGCCCTCCGAACTCAACTTGAGTCTGGTACTTAAGACCGGACTCAAGCTGAGTTCGGGGGATTCAGTTTTCCGCCTCAATGCCTGTGCTTCAGTGTGACTTGCTGCGACATTGTGTTCGGAATCCAAGATTGCGACTTTGAGACTTTGCAACTTCGCCACTTTGTGTCTGCGTCCGTCGAGTTGTGTCGAGTCCGTGTCGAGTTGAGTGAGTGTGTGTGTGTGTGCTCTCACTCCCTCCCTCTCTCTTCCCCGACCTCGCTGCTCTGCCTCAGCCCCGTCACACTTTCAGATAACACAGTGCACAGTTAAGATGGGATACAGCAAGCTTCTAAGAACCAAAGACCCCGACACAGTAATCAAAGAAAGATGGACCAAGAATGGAACCAATTTCGTAACTCCATTGGCAAAAGTAGGAGTCAATTCAACCAGTCAAGATAAGAAGTCTCAAATGGCTGATCACCTACAATGCCCTCCCAGTGAATGTCTGGCTACATGAATGAACAGCGATCCGAACAGTTCAGACCAATGTATGGTATGCTCAGATAATGAACAGGAGGATATAGTACATAGTCTAATCACATGTAAACTCGCTACTGACCTGCGGGCAAGAGCTTAAGCGCTCTTAGACCACTTATTTCCCTTTTCCCTACCCGAACACCCAATCCAACTTCTCCTATGGACTAACACCCCCTCTCTTTAACACAAATCGGAATGCGACTGGCTCGGAATAATCAGGAAGATAACATTGTGAGTCATTTGGAAGGAGAGATGCAACAGGACAATCAACAAGACTACCAATCCGACTGAACAAGTATGGGCGACTATGAAACTGTTCATGGAGATCCGGTGCCAATGGAAAAAGGTCAGACTCCAAGCTCAGCAAAATCCAGAGAAACAGCAAGAGTTGATATCCAACTTTAACAGAGTGTTGCT